CTTAAATAAATAAAGTTAAATAAAAATAATTCTTTAAAAAAACAATTCAGTAGGCTGGAGGCCAGACGGTATGGTGGTTGAGGCACTGGACTCCCACATGACCAACCGTGGCTGAAGTCCCAGACCTGGCAGCTTGCTTTCTCACTTTCTCTCTCTCTCTGGTGCTAGAGCAACTTAAAACATAATAATGATAAATACAGTGAAATAAATAATTCTGTAAAAAAAAATCAGTTGGCTTCATGTTTTGGGGTTTATTTGTGAGTTCTGTGTCTACTTGCCTCTTTTTGTGCCAGTACCATGCTGTCTTGATTATCACAGCTTTGTAATACATTTTGAGGTCAGGTAGTGAGATACCACCTACTTTATTCTTTTTGCACAGTATTGCCTTGGTGATACGGGATCTTTTAGGATTCCAAACAAATTTTACGAGCTTTTTCTATCTATATGAAGAATGTCTCATAATTTGGCTGGAATTTCATTACATTTGTAACTTAATTTGGTTAGAATGGACATTTTGGTTATATTCTTCCCATCGAGGAACATAAAATGCCTTTCCACTTTTGCGTATCACGCTCAGTTTCTTTTTTTCATTTTTGTTGTTGTTTTCCTTGTAGAAGTATTTCACCTATTTGGTTAGGTTTACTCGTATGTATTTTATTTTGGGAGGTGGCCGCTGTAAAGGAGATGGCTTTAATTCTGCCTCAGTCTGTTAGTTAATGGTGTATAAAAGCACTGTAGCTTTTTGTATGTTGCTTTTGTCTCCTGCCACCTTACTAAATTTATGTATCACTACTTGGAGTTTTTCTGTGGACTCTTGGATTTTCTACGTATGCAGTCATGTCATCTGCAAATAAGGATCATTTTGCTTCTTTTTAAAATTTTTATTCTTGTCTGATTGCATTGGCTAGGACTGCCAGTACTGTGTTGAAAAAGTGGGGCAAGTGGGCAGCCTTGCCTTATTCCAGGTGTTAGTGGAAAAGCAGTTTTAATCCTGATCGTCTTTTGTGAGTGATGTCAGGGCCTGGAACAGTGGGTCACTTCTCCCACTTCATCTCACCCCTTCTCACCTTGAATCCACCCCTGAGGTTATGGGAGTCCTGGCATTGGGAATAAGCTCCCTCCCCCTCCCCTCCAGGGCAAGGGAGCTGGAGTGGGGTTGCAGGGCAGCTCGGTTCTGGCTTCGGTGGTAGAGGAAGGGACAAAGTCTGCTTTCTGCCTCTGCTCAACACCCCGATGACAACTGGAGCTGGCTGGGGGAGAGGCGGATGACCTGTGTCCTGCAGGAGGCCATGGTCTGGTGGAAGGGGTGAGTGACAGCCCGTGCCAGGGAGCAAAGGCCCGGTGCAGGGCATGGCCAAGGTGGGAGGGAGGAGGACAGCAGTGCCAGTGGAGGGAACAGGGCTCTGTTGAGGAATAAGTCCGCGGAATAAAGCCATGGAAGTAAGAGAGGCAGACTCCCGAGGTGGGCCCAACAACCTCACTGTCCCTAGACAAACGGCCTAAAACGAGGCCCCTGTGTCGCGAGAAAGGAAGGAAGCAGGTGAGACAAGGCCGTCCTTCGAACGTTTACTGCGGCGCTCCCAGCCCACTCCCTCCAGCCCGTCCAAAGGACATCCCCAAACGTGCCATTTAAGACAATTCTTCATTTCTGACAGTGACGTCCAGAAGTGCATATATAATAAATAAATAGAAAATATATCTTTGTTCATAGTGACATCTACAAGGAACGTTTACGTACAAACACACTGCACATCTAACTCCCGAAAAAGGACCAGCTATTTCGGCAACAGGAAACAAGCATTTCGGAGGAGTGTTTTCCTTAAGGGCCTAACTCACTCACCAACACGAGAACAGTTTTCCGAACAGTAGGAGCATCTGTGCGGTCGACCCAAGCAACGCCGCCACCTCGGCCCATGGGGAGAAACACAGGGACAGACCCCGTACCCCTCACCACGCGGACGACTCCGAGAACGCGCTGACGGGTATTTCTGGAAATGAGCTGAGCCGAAGACAGACAATATTCCCGGCGCCCCTGACACTGGCCACGTCCCGAGCGGTTCTCAGTGTGAGACCCTTGAATTAAGAGTTTAAAAACTCAACAGAATCCTAGACAACCACGACATCGAGCCGTTTTCTCTCTCCACCTCATCGCCATGCATCGCCCTGGAGCTGGCCCTTGCTGTGGTTTCGGCCTTTGAAGCGGTCGCATCATAAAAGGTAGGCCCCCACTGTCATTCGCAGCCGCTGGAAGACCCCGCCAGGTGGACTCACTTGCTGACCACATCTTATGGAGGCAGCTGGACAGTGGGACCCAGGCAAGCCCTCTTTGAAGGAAAGTGGCTGGGGCAGGAAAGGGGACAAACGAAGGTCATCGTAAGACCCGGGGAGGCCTGGTCCTCAGGAGAGGTATCCTCCCCAGGCCGCGTTTTCCAGCTCCCAGGAGCTCTCCAGCTCTCTCCAGGGAAGGCAAGGGAGAGAGCCTGGGGGACCCAGCAGGTCTTCAGACCCCACGAGGGGCCGGGATGGTTCACCAGGAACATCACGCGTGCTGATACCACCTGCCAGGCCGCCCCGACAACTGTAGGTAGCACCGATGGCCTCGCCGCAGCGTGCACCCCGACGGGGCCCGGGGTCCGACAGGGGGTGTGAACAGAGTAAGGCTACAGGTGCCCCCAGGGCCAAGAGGAGGGCAGGTTCGTGTGCGCAGAGGAGCAGGAGGGCCATCGCCACTGGCCGACGACGGGCCTGTTCCGAGCGTGTTCTCCCCTGGGAGGGGAAGGCCTGGCACTCGGGCCGTGGCCGAGCAGCGTGGCAGTCAGTGCTGGGAGTGGGGCCCCCGCAGCCCTGCCTGGCGCCGTGGTTCTTTCCCACCTGTACAACAGCTGGGGACCCGGTCTCCTCTAAGGTCCCGTCTAGATCTGCAAACCCAGGCTCTCACAGCAGGGCGGGTCCAGCTCCCAGGCTGCTCTGCTGCAGTGTTCCCGGATCAAGAGCAGGAGCTCCCTTCTGGGCACTGACTCGATTCTCCGAGGGGAGGTGGGGCTGGCTGGGGACCAGGTCCTCAGTGCCCCGGGCATAGGGCCCAGGCTTGGCTCTTAGGGAAACCACAGTCCCCTCCTGCCCTGGTAGCCACGAGGCTCAGGTGAGAACCTGCCTGCCCCATCCAGACCAGTGCCACCCTGGCTGGGCACAAGCTCTGCTCGCAGGGACAGAGACCAGGGGTCAGCACAGGAGGGCAGCCTGGGGCCTGCTTCTCCCTCACACAGGGGCCAGCAAGTCGCTCGGCAGGGCCCAGCCCTCTGGAGGCCGCCCCATCTCCTTGTTGCTCCTCCTGCGAGAAGCCTTGCCCACCCCACCCCGAGCACGTACAGTTGTCCCCTCCACCCTCTCCAGGCTCTCAGCCTGGCACCAGAGAGCACCCAGACAGAATGCCCACCAGCAGACAGCACTGTCACCCCTCTCCATCCTGCGTGGCCCTGGGTGGCCACCGAAAGGGCATTCTCAGCTACTGCTGGGTTTCAGGGACTGCACACAGCCAGACTTCAGGGATCTCAGACCAGGAAGGGCCCTCGAGGGTCCCCCATTTGAGTCCCAACCTGCCAGCTGAAGTCTCCTACGAGGTGGGCCCCCTCTAAAGGCAGGGCTCCCTCTCCCCCTCGGGGGCCCATTCTGTGTGGGGAGCTTGCCTTCCACACTGGCTCCCAGCCCTGCGGAGGTTGCTTTTTGCTTACAGAAGAGATTTCCTTAAGGCCAAGGCTGTTTCCCCCATTGTTTCCCCCAGTGTCTGCGGAAGACGGGGATTTGTCAGTGACTCGGCACCCCGGCCGCCTCTAGCTGGCCAGGGTACCTGCCAATAGACCTTTGCACCAGCACACCCCAGGCCTCTTCTTACGGTCCCCACACCCTCCGCCACCGAGGCACAGACAGAGAAGCACCCATGAGGATGCAAGAGAAGGTTCCAGCACTAGCCAACGCGGGCTCAGATGCTGCAGACAGACGCTCGAGTGGGGCCAGGCGCAGCACCAGGGGTCTCTGGTAGCCTCCCCTGGGCCCATGAGGGCTGGCACAGCCTGTCCAGGCAGCAGCTGGACAGAAGCCAGGGGGACCAGCCACCTGCCCCAGGCTGCTGCCAGGAGGTCACGGTCCTAGCCCACTGCGGGGCGGCGCCGGGGGCAACTGTCCTCACAGCTGCCTCTTCCTCACCACAGGGATGGGCACGACTTGGAATATCTTGGCTTTGTGGTCCTCGGTGTCCAGGGTCACCCAGGTGGGCCGGAAGCTGCCTTTGAAGCCAACGAACACCATTTTCTCTGCAAAGCAATGATGAGGGACGTGAATAGGAACCTGTAAGAGAATAGCCACTGCCCACCCTACTCCCACCTCCTGGCCACCGTCTCTGGACTCTGCCCCAGTGGGAAGGGCCCTTGCCTCTATGGGGCACGCGGGTTCTCACCTGAGCCTCACGGCCACCTAAGCAAGGTCGGCGTGGGCATGGGAGAGCTAAGCACAGCAGGAGAAAGGTGGGCAGGGAGGGCGGGACCTCCCGGGGACCCTGCCCACCTTTGGGCTGGTCTTAGGATCGCTGGCGGGTCCCTGTGCCTCTCTGAAACCCACTGTTCCCACCTGTCAAACTATGGCACTGGTCTGCAAGATCGCTTCCCCAGCTCCAGCCCTCTGTGGCTTTAGAAGGGGGTTCTGAGAAGTCACACGAATTGTCCAAAGGCTTGGAGTAAATGGCACCGCTGGGTTAGAACTCTGAACCCCATGCAGTGCTGTAAGTTCATAGCGTGACCGTCCAAGGCGCCCGGAATCTACGTCTACATTCAAACTGTCGGGCCAGGCAAACAGCACATCTTGTCACCCCTGGGCAGATGCCACTCAGCTTAGGTCACTGTATGTACATCAGCTTCTGGCACCAGGGTCTTAATTTAAAAGACAGAGCCCCTCGACCAGCAGATGGCATAATGGTTATGTCACTGGACTCCCACGTAGTCGAACACAGTCAGTCCCGGACCTAGCGACTTAAAACCCATACCAGGTGTGTGTGTGCATGTGTGCCCAAGATCCCAGAGGAAAATGGGGAGAAGGGGTTGCAGCGAGGCCATCCCCTCTGGGGGGCAGGCTTCCCCCCCCCTTTTTTGGCTATAGGATGTGTGCGCTTGCCTGAGAGATGTGGGCAAATGGCCCCGGGGGAGATGGCCACACTGCCATCCCTTCTTCTCTTGGGGTTTTGGGTCCCCACATGGTCTGGCTTGCTTTTTTCTTTGCTATAGGGTATGTGCACGTGCCTCAGAGAGGCAGGGAAGTGACCGAGGAGGAGTGGCTCCACTGTGATCCCTTTTCCTCTCGGGGTTTCGGATGCTCACGTTTGGGCTTGATTATTATTATTATTTTTTAAATATGGCGTGTGCACTTGCCTCAGAGAAGGGGGAGAAATGACCCTCTGGGAGGGATGGCCCCACCACACTCTCTTCTCTTCTTGGGGTTTTGGGTGCCCAGGTGTCTGGCTTTACTTTGTTTTTCTTTTGAGAGAGATTTTTTTCTATAGGGCACATGCGCTTGCCAGAGAGACCGAAAGCGAGAAATCACCCTCAGGGGATGGTCATGCCACAATCCCTTCTCCATCCTCCTCTCGCGATTTTGGGCATGCACGCACACACACCCAGCGTGAGTCTCAAGGCTCTGGGTCTGGGACTTGAACCACAGTCGGCCATGTGGGAGTCTAGCACCTTGACCACTACACCACTTGCTGGCTTTTTTTGAAGGATTATTTATTTTTAATTTTATTTATTCATTTACTTATTTTATTTTGATCAGAGAGAGAAATACAGAGAGAAAAAGTGAGAAAGCAAGCCACCAGGTCCAGGACTTGAACCATGGTCGGCCATGTGGGAATGTCCAGCACCTTAACCACCACGCCAGCTGCTGGTCCCCTCCCAGCTTGTTTTTCAAGTTGCTGTGTCTGGGACTGCAACTACACAGCCAGCCAAGTGGGATCTAACTGCCTTAACTCTGTCACCGACAGACCTGATGGCACTGTCCCCAAGCAGATGGTGAGCTCTGGGCACTGCCTTTCAGTCCCCGTCACAAGTTAAAGACTGCCACAGTGGAGGGACGGTTAACAGATGTGCCCTGTCCATCCATCCCAGTAGGCCACCGGGTGTACTGAGGATTCTGAGACTGACTCCGTCCAAGTTTAGTGGGAGAGAATGTTCTAGAATCAGTGAGGGACACTAGCACCCTCCCTGCCTGTCATTTGCCGTTTTTGGTCTCGTGTTCAGTTTAAATCCCAGTCCAAACACTTTCTTTCTCCTTCCGATGATTACTGTCTCACTAACGTAACAACTGTTACAAGACAGTTTTTCACCACTCAGTGCGTCGTAGTTAAATCAGGCCAGTTTGCACAGCCATCATCTCGGCCGGCCGTGACACTGTATAGGATCCTGCCAACCCCCACGTCCTTCCCCCTGCATTTGTTAGCACCAGAGGTAGTTCCCTCGTCGGCCGTCTGTTCCTCCACGGCACTCTTCTCCCCGCCCCCACACCCTCCCTAGTCTAGTAGTCATTCTGCTGACGTCTCTGTCTCTGAAGTCATTTTTTCCAATTTCTGTAGAGGAGAGAGAACACGTGTTTCTCTTCTGCACCTGGCTTACTTCACTTAACGTAACGTCCGGCAGTCTCACCCGTTTAACCTCAAATGAGTAGACTTCATCCTTTTTCATGGCTGCACAGTATTCCAGTGTGTGTGTGTGTGTGTGTGTGTGCGCGCGCATGTGTGTGAGAGAGAGAGAGATCTTCCTTGCTCCGTCTTCTGGCGAGGGACCTGTGGGTTGCTGCCATATCTTGGCCGCTGTAGACAGTGCCCCGATAACCACTGCAGACACCTACCTTTCAGCCTGACACCCTTGTCTGCCCCAAGCTTTTCCAGCACCCTGGTCCACGGGCCTCTGGAGACGTATCTTCCCGTGGATGCCATGAGAACTATGGAGCTGAAGGAGAAGGGCTGATTAGAGGACAGTACGAGCCAGCAAACTGCAGCCAGGGGTGTGCGGGGTGGGGTGCGGGTTGTGCACGATGGGCCCTGACTTGGTAGCGCCAGAGGCCTGACCAGGGCCTTGGGAAAGGGCAGTTTCCTCGGCGTGCCAAGCAGACAGGCCCTTTCCGTGTGGTGACAGACATCCTGGGTGCTCCTCTCACACAGCTGGCCACGGTCTAAGGCCCAGCCTGCCGCTTCTGCCTGTCCCCACATGGGACAGAGAGGGTGCAGCACCCAGCACCTGGGGGGCAGCACCATCGCACGGGTGGGTATGTGGCAGGACTGCAATTGAACGTCCTCGACCCTGCCTGGATGGGATCGGGCAGAAATACTGTGGCAGAGGGGGCCCGGGAGTGGCGCAGTGGTAAGTAACGTGACTGGGCCCCCTTAGCAAGGGGCCTTTCACACCCGGGGCCACCTGGGTCGCGCTGGGTACCCGTAGGCATGCCCATGTCTGGGTCGGCTGGTGCAGGGTCCCTGGCCAGTCTCATAGCAGGAAGTGGGTGGGAGGGCGGGAGGGCAGGAGGGTCAGACAGAGCCATTTTCTACGATACTCTTTTTTCTTTTTCCCTAGTTTTGCTGTAGGGCATGTGTGTTCGCAGGAGAGAGAGGGACGGAGGGAAAGTGAGAAACCGCTCCCTCGCCCCTCAAAGGAGATGACCACACCGTAATCCCTTCTCCATTCTCCTCTCAGGATTTGGGGCGTGCACCCACTGGCTTGTTTTTCATTCCCCTAGTCTGGGACTTGAACTCACTGTTAGTCATGTTGCCTGCCTGCCTGCCTCTCCTTCATGGAAGAAATAGGTAAAAATAAAGCTGATGGTGGGGAAAGGGGAGAAGG